TAAATCTTCAACAATCGTATTATATTTTTCTTACTTTTGTCCAATAGCGGTATTTTCTATAAAGGATTATGATCACAAAGCAGAAGTGCCAAATACTCGCAGTCCTTGAATTTCAATATGAAATGAAATGTTGCTTTTCCAGCATAATTGCAGATGAGCTGTAATAATTAACGTTTTGTATTAGCATATGTAAGGGCAACTATTGTTGGGTGTTGCGAACTACTCAAAACACGCCAATAAGTTCAATTGCCATGTCTTTAAAAAGACCGCGCAAGCCCAGACGCCTTTTTGCCGAAAAATATAAGAAAGACAGCTGTATGGTGCAAGGGTCATCTTAACTAACGTAACGTTTGTTCAGCCAAAGGCTACTCACGCATTGCTCACCGTGAGTACTGCTGCGGTAACTAAACTCATAAGTCGGTCGCCTTTACCGCCAACCCCTACTGTGCCACCGGTTCTGATTTTCACCAGTGTCCTCGCAATTTTTCGCTACATTTCCTAGTCTTAGCAAAGGCAACAGCTGCCATTTGCCAATACTATGGTCGAACGACCGCTGCTCCAGTTGCATAATCTCAGCAAAAGACGACGAAAATCCCCCGGCAACTGCACTGCTTTACCTTTACTATTCATTGTTGTTGTTGTTGTCTTATACGATTGCTTTCTTTGATGAAAATCAAATAAATTATAATAGCAATTTGTATGCATTGCATCTGTCGGTCGGTTAGGCAATGGAAATAGAGTGTGTGGACAGGCGTGCAACGGGTGAAAAGCGTAAAATTGCTGAAGGATGCCGAGATATTAGGTGCAAGGTATTGAACGGCCGTAACGAACGGTTATGTGGGTTGAAGAACTTACTAAGAAATACAAATGAATTATCATTAATGAAATTTATTTGGTTAAAGCGAATGAAACATAAGTGCACAATGAACTATTGTGCAACATCGGTTTATCAGACAGCCGTTAAGAAGCAGTTAAATATCTGCTTAGTTCCCATGAAACAAGTTTGTCCTTTTGGAAGTACTAATTTAACTACTAAGCAGCCTTGCCTCCTTTTCGCCCGTTCATTCCACTTCACTTAACCGACAAATAAACGAAAGTGCATTTCGAGCCTACCACCAATTACCGATTTTCAATTACTTGCAATTGCTATTTTTTATGCTGTCGCAAAGATTTGCACTCGACCGATAGGCGGAAGGATCTCGTGCAAACTGTCGCACATAAATTGCAATTTACTTTGTGCCAAATCGTGTTGAATTTACGATGGGGCTGCAATAGCAACATGAAATTATCCTTTCGTTTGTTGATCGTCAACTTCATTAACGATGTCTTTTGTTCGGCCTGCGAAGATGTGAGCCACGCTAAAGGTGGAAATCAACCTAAAGGAAGATGCTCTAAATTATTTGTAATAACTGCATTGTTGCATTATATCTCTTGTATTTATGTGTACATGTCTGTGTGTGTGGTTGCCGAGATCGCATTCCGTTGGCTACATGCACAACACTTCCTGCCACTCCACTTCTGCTCGGCAGTTCGTGTAGGGTCCTTGACTGTGTTTCAGTTTTCATTACGTACTCATTGTTCTCCTTTTAAAGATTTGACTGTTTGCAGCACTAGCTGTCTAAGTACAGCTTCTGCTGTGATTTACGCCCGACAGGCACTCAGCCGCTGCGTGTCCTGCTGTAGCCTGTCAGTTTTTGGCTTCTTAGTGCGAAAAGTTATGAGCATAAACATGACATTTAGAGGCACAAAGGATATATTCTGCACTTCTGTACTGTTATTTGCCAGAGCAGATCGGCTATAATGTTAGCGACAATACTCACTGTCAGCCGCTTGAACAGGAAGTAAAACGGAAAGAACATTTCGAGATGATTGTTTTACTCATAGAAGCCAGCGGTAAAATAAATATAAAATAAAAACATTTAATAAACTAAAGCGTTGGAAAATAGTTTTCCAAAACAGCAATCAACGCTTTTATGCCTCACTTCTGTCTGGTGCGATGAGAACGGTCGTAGAACAATGGTCAGAGAGTCTATTTATTCTTCAGGCATAAAAACATAATGGTCAAAGAATTAATAAGATTGAGTTAGTGGCGAATAGTATGACTTTATGCTCCAGACGTGTCTTTATTATTGCAAGCAATGATTTTGAAACATTGTATGTGGTTATAACGTGCCAAGGTATCGTGTATTAACATTTTTTCGGACTATAAATCATTCATTTAAAAATCAATATTAAAATAGCAAACCGCTTACAATACCTAAATACAACAGAACACTCACTTCGTTCCACCCTTTAACCGTTCGTTAATTAATCATTTCCGTACTCAAATATTATTGCGAATTCAAATCGGTAAGCCAAATAGCAAAGGATTGCGATCGGCAAATACTCAAAGCATATTCAAACACAATGCCCAAAACATATAAAATGCACAGAAAATATACTCTCGTTTGTTTTACATTTGTAAGCGGTTCAATTGTTTGGGTTTTTTTGCGAAATAGAAATGCCAACAACAACGCATTGCTCCAATATTTTCAATATTGCGAAAAGTCAAAAGGATAACTAATCAAAATCACATTATTCATTGTATGACGTCTTTTGTTGCATTACTTTGGGAAAACTAAACCCCTTTTAGCGTATTAATGCGGCGATGTGGTCGGGATATACTGTAGCGGCGAGGCAAAGGGTGAAAGTGAATGTTGTTTTTCGGCTTTTCATAGCGCTTTGCCACAATTCGCAACACCTTTCAACAGCCTGTATAACAAAACAACTGAAGTTTTTATTCGAAATCACGAGAATTGTGCGCTACTGTCTTACGCAAAGACATAAATCGTAGCCATTTGACGACTAAGGTTTTTTGCAGATATTACTAATGAAACGCCTCATTCTTAGATTTGTTTTGAAATTAAAATTTACGGAATTATTTCTTTTAAACCCTGTTATTAAGTTACCCACGAAGTTTATAACACCCGAAAGAAAACGCCGGAGGCCCTAGAAAGTAAGTACTGCATATACTTGTTCAGTGGCATAAGCTGAGTCGATTTAGCCATGACCGTATGTCCGTTTGTATATACGTAAACAAGTGCCTCAAATTGAAATTTTGCACACTTCTTTATCTCAAAAAAAAAAAAAAAATCGATATTGGATCACTTGAGCATATAGCTGCCATACAAACTGAACTATCGGAAATCAAATCATTCTAAAGGAAACATATTCATTTGACGAGATATCTTCAAGAAATTCAGGCGTCGCTACAATCGGGAGAAAATAGTGATCATATCAAGATACATAATTTCTAATACTTTCTCTTTACAAATGAGTTATTAAAACTTTTACACAAATATTTGCATGTGCTGAGAGCCACAAAGTTACCACTTCTAATGCATTTCATATCTGTCTTAAGATGACGCGCTACTGTTTTACATTCTTCAACTTGACAGACCGCAGGAACGCACTTTCTCGTTGAAACTGTCACATTTGCGCACCATTAACTCGAGTACTCATTAGGAAAGATTTTATATGCAAATGTGTTGGAAAATCACTGAATTGTGTGAATCGGCGTTAAACGACTGAAAACTTTGCTAATTGTCTGTCCCTAATTGCCTTGCGGTTTGGTCGGCTTTAAAATTGTCTAAAAAATCAAATCCGCTCACAAAAAATTCAATCCGTAACCAATGCGGTCGTCGAAAAGGACATTTTTGAACTAATGACGTGCAAAGGTACACAGATTTTACCATACCTACACATATGTACATATCCATACAATAGTGAGTTCGTAAGTATGAATATGTCTTTGAAGGATTTATATGTAAATTTTGTTTCTTCTGTTGTTGAAACATTTTAAAGTAAGTTGTACTACAAGAAAACAGAAAGTGTGTTCTAAAGTGCTGTGCAAAAATAGAACTTTTTTAAACCAAAATTTATTTGACAAATGGTGTGGAAAGAAGGATCCCATTGCATTAAAAAAACTAAGAAAATTTGTAATGAGCTGTAATGAGAGGTTTACTCGCCACAGGAAGCAAAGGTGAGGGTACTACGTAGTTGCACCAAAATTGAAGTTATGAAGAATAATACAACAATGGAAAGTTATTCAGCCTAAACGACGATTTGATATTTCCTATCTACATACTTATGTAATAGGAATACTAATTTAATAGAACTGACCAGCGATTTCTGCTTGCTCACAGCAGGTACATGTCTAAATTCGTTAAACTATGCTAGACATTACAATCTGTTGCACTCGGTGCAATTTTGATGAAAATTATCGCAGGAAACAAGTGTCGCATTTAGCTTTAATAAATGTCGTCGTCGAGGAGACAATTTGTTTTTTTTTAATATATTAACTACATTTTAACATGCAAAAGCACTGTTGCATGCCTCCATTAGCTTTAAGGGAGACGGTCTGCTTCGAAATCTTGACACCCCAGTAATGTGGAAATTATAGTCTAACTAATATAACGAAAACCACTTCCTCTGTTATCCTAATTTTTTCCCATTTACTACCCACGATAGGATCTTTCCCATATACAGGACTTTCAATTTGCCACTATGACTGCAGGAATGTGTGTGTGTGAGTTCAAACGAACAATCACAAGATTTTATCGCGCTGCTTGGCAGGAAGGGCATAAGGAAATGAGAAAAGGAGCACACGCAAAGGTGCATCAAAGCAGCTAATAGACACAAACAATGCAATGTCCTTCGTTGCCAGACGGCTCTCACCGAGTCGGGAGCACACGGAATTCCGTCGTTGCACTATACTACTCGCTTTTGTTAGCATGACTTCAAGAGCGCCGCCGACTCTTTACTCACAACGAGAAGAGCACATTACGCAATGAGAGGTCGATTTAGTAAAGAAAACGGGGTTGCTATGTTAATGGACATGGCGAGTATAAAAGCGGTTTCGCGCGCGTTGACTAATCAGTTTGTCAGCAAATGTTAACGAGAGCATATATATTAAGACGTTCTGAAGCTCAAATAATATTAAAAAATATATATATATAAATATGTTAAAGTGGACGGCATCAGCGCAGAAGCTGAACCAGCTTACACCAAGTATCCGAACGGCCACCACATCGATACGAACACCACATCCATTAGCGGAGGCTAAGCATCGACGGCGACATGCCACCATTAATAACATCGAGAACATACCATATACGTCAACTCCAATGGTGGAGAGAGAGCGTAATAATCCGCTGTTATTTTCTCCATTAACGGATATTTTGAATGTCACACCAAAAGACATGTCGCCTTTAATAGAGCATACACAAGGACGAATTCGAGTCACAAGCACGAATGCAACTGGTAGCCCATTGCGAAATCGACGACATTCAACAGTGGGCCTTTTTCTACATCCGGCACCGACTTACGCATCTACCTTGCCACGCTTCGAGGAAGAATATTCACCGAGTACTGCGCTGCCGACCGGACAACAAGTAGCGCTAAGGGGACTACTGCCTGACCCCTTTATAAGCAATTTACGTTACTTCAACACACCCGAGTTGGCAAAACGGAGACAAAAGGAGGACTTAGAGAAACTAAAGGCCGCCAGAAAATCATTGCCTAGAAAACTGGAAGCAGATTTTGCAGAGATCGCGAAGGAATGTGGCGAGGAAAAGTTAATGAAGCACATGAAGAACGAGTCACACTCGGCGGGTATGAGCGATCAAACTCTGGATAAGCTAATTGATGCTATTCTAGACTCGGCGCGTAAGGATGAGAAGAAGAAGGTGAAACCGCGCAAGTCTTTTAACCTGCGTCGTCGTACCCTACTCAAAAATCAAGCCGAACAAAAAGTCAGTGAATTGGTTCTTTCACCATCCTATGCTGCAGGCGAGGATCCAGCGAGTGATCTCAGCATTATCTTCGTTGATCAGCAGCCAAAACATGTGATGAAAACAGTGAACGCCACCAAATCACCACTTACTCCGGCGCCAGTAACGCCTCCGCCAGGCACGCCAATATCCACTGACACGCTCCAAAAAATGCCGACGCCCGCACCCACAAGTATTTCAACAACCGATGCCAACTCTGCATACCAACATCATTACCTCCGCTCGAACTTAAGCAGAACACGACTGGACCACACCTTTCTGTTGGAGACGCCTGCGCGACTACCGTTGCAAAGAAAGCGACAACGGCGTAAAACATTAGCAGCGCCAATCGGTAGTACGAAACGCTTGAAAACTGGAGGCACCAACTACTTCGAGGTGGGATTGGCGTTGCCCTCAATCTATGTCTAATATTGTTGCAGCCGTTGCTGTTGTTGTTGTACGAATTTATTTCTGTTTAAGATTCGACTTTTTGTTAATTTGTTGACAAACTAGGGGAAATGCTCACTTATTACGCTTTTAGATTATAAGAAACTTATTTATTTTTAGTACTTAGCTAAATTATGTATATTAAATATTTACTTTTAAGTTATATACTTTATTTAATGAGTTGTCATACATCATTACCACCGGTCTGAATATGCATCATCACCTATCTCAACACATTGGTGAACACAATGAGGCTTGAAATAAATATATTTAATATGAAAAAAGCAAATTGTTTGAATTTCCAGATTCTTTGCTCTCAAATAAGAATTTTAAATTTCGGAATGGCTTAAAAAAGCATTTAACAGCAATGTCTGATCAACAAATTGATAACTTCATCAGCTGAAAGCGCAGCAAATTAATTTCAAAGTATTGACAGAAATTTCAATACTTCCGCTTTTCAGTAGACACACACACACAAATTGATTATTTGAAGATTTGATAAGCCAGTTGCGGAGGAAGGTTAAAATTAAATAGATACATTTTTTTATTACTAAAACAGGTTGTTTCTTGTAGAGCAAGGGTTAAACGAGCGAAAAAATTTCGGAAATAAAGAGCACGGCTCAAAACGTTTTAGTGAGGGCGTGGATAAACGCAGCTGTTCATACTACGAAAATTAAGAACAGTAGATAAAAAGGAATATTTCCGGTTTTTGAAACTTAGCGAAATACGCGCATGTATTTACATTATTTTTCGACATTAACAAAGAAAGTTGTAAATGAGACAGTAATGATTTTTATGCATCAGAAGTTGACTTTCTCGATCTAGCCAAGAAATTACTGAACTACTAGGTTTTAAAGCAACTTATTAGAAAAATATGATTAGATCACCTAAGACTTACTTGTTGCGATTAATGCTTGCACTTAACGAACGAGTCTCCCAGTTAACATTGTTTTTATATACATACATACATATGTATATTTGAACTTTAACAACATTCTGTTCTTAACTCTTTGTCGTTTCCGCCCGCATATTCTACGGTCCCTTTGGAGCAATGGCTTACTAGATGTAACAATTCGTAACTGTAGCAGCTAACAGTAAAAGGTAGGCATATGCAACGCCTATCAATTAGCTAACGCAATTGTTTACTTAGGCTCGTTAATACCAACAATCCGTAATACGCTGACGATCAGGTGCTTCCCGTTGGCACATCTATTCATAAAAATTGTTGGCACGCTTACATCGTTATAGTTCACTTTTTCAGTTACTCCTTATTTGAAAACTTCGGTTGTTGCACGCACATCTCTGCATGCCTGCGTCTTCGCAGCTGTCACCAAATTCGGGCGATCAATTAGTACGACACTTGTTGGCACTGAAATGCCTTCTCTTGTCTACAACAATTTCATTTTCTACCAGCATTTTTGTTGGTTACACCACATTTACTATTAAGTAATCCTGTTTTTCCAATGACAGGTTTTTCTTGTCTACACATTTCGTAGTTTCTGCGAGTTTTTCCCTCATAACGGGGGTTTGTTTTGTTTCAAATGCGTAACGGATTTGGATTAGAATTCTGCTTGCCAGTTGGGCTCGGTGGCAGTGTCATGCTTGCTGTTGGGAGTAGGAGTGGTTGTTGCCTACAATCGCGCACGTGGCTGTTGTTTAAAGTTACCGATAAATTGAAATTTCCTATGCGAATTGCCGGACGATTTAAATGTGTTGCCGGTTTCGCTATGGTGTTTCGTAGAATTGAAACCTGCTGCTTGTTTCTTATAGCATACACAATTGGTCAATTGGATTTGTGGTTCAGAAGGCGTCACCACGTTACCTTTCTAATTGAATAATTGCTTTCCATTTGTATCTGGTTAGAAATGCAAGGTGTTTTCAATGAATTTGAAGTGTTCCAAAACATGAACAGGGTTGCAAAATTGTAAAATGTTCAATACATCATCTTCTCAATCTTTGTTATATTTCTTGACAAATCGGCTCCTTATTGGGTAATGATAAAATACCTTCAACCGCAAATTGCCACAGATGCTGCCATTTTAATTGATATTAACTTAGATAATTCATTTATATCGTCAATCAAGTTGTCAAAGTACTCGCTTCCAGGTCTTGAATCAGCTGTGTCGTTGCCTTAAGGCATATTCCGCGTCTTGGGGTAGACAGGCAACAGTACTCTGAGATTTTGCGTGCTTCTTTGGATTCGTACTCCCCTAGAGCTGTGCATCCTTTACCACGCTTCGCGTACACATGCGTTTTGTTGTTTTTACTGCGCTTATGTAGTGGCAGGGCGTGATTTAATTTCGATTTCAATTCATATAATACTGGTTGCCAAGGTTGGCAGTTTGCTTCCGCTGTTTCGCAGTTGCACCTTTAGGCTGCGCAGTTGCTTCAAGCAACGACTGATTCCTGTCTGCCTCTGCGCCTTTGCGGTCGTTGCCGCGGGCAATTTTACGAGTTTCTTCGACTGACGGCTGACGTTGCACCAATTTCTGCGCAAAAATTCGAAAGGAGTTCGGTCGGTGTGCAATTTGTAGTTTGCAAAATTAAGGAAGCATCTGTGGCTATGACCTACGTATGCATGTACCTTCGTCTACTTATTCCACAATTTTCAGCGCAAATCCAGTTCATAGTCGCACTAAGCTACGCTTTGCAATGCATATCCTTGCATTCTTCCTGTGAGTATGTTTTGTCATTGGTGTTTATTCGAGCACCAAAGCGTATCCACAATATTTACTTAAGCAGACATATGAACACAAAAAGGTTTTTTGACGATTGTTTGCATACTTTCGAAGTCCTTTTCTCCTTTGGTTTAAGACATTATCCTTTGGGTACATTTATAGTGATTTATTGAAAATATTCAAACTCGTTTCCAATGCAAAAAAAATCGCTAATTTCTGCGTGTATAAACAATTTTCAATCAGCAAACATTTTATTTCCGTTACCAAAATCTGTGCCTCGCTGTTGCTAATACAAATACCGCCTTAATTATCTTCACCACACATTTCGTTTATTTGCAACCACAGGAGCCCTGCATTCTACCACTAAATTTTAAAAATCTCTTAAATTTAATCTGCCCCGGATGTGTTACCAGGCAACTACTTCCAGCCTCCACGCTGCTAATCAAATCTGCTTAGCTGCTTACGGAGAAAGTAAATCTTCACAGCCACAAACAACTGCGCGAACCCCATCACCCATAGCCTTATGAGCTTGCCGTATTTCCTTCATAAGCTGGTCATTGGAATGGTGCTGCTGTGTGAAAGTAACCAAAATGCAATTATGTATTGGCAAATATTATGCAAACAAAGGTCGAAACATGTATGCAGCGGCAAGCACCTCGCGCACCCTGCCGTGAGCGACGAGAAAAGTATCCTGCCAGCTTTTTGTCTAAATATTCAATTCCAACATTTTTGGAATGAAGTTGTTACTGCATATGATCTAGAAAAGCAAACAAGATGCAAATCCCTTTTTTATTGTCAACTCAAAGCACTCGGCGCCCAGGTTGGTGGATGGTGAGCGTAAGCAAAATCTAATAATTATAATTCGTTTTGTATATCGTTTGTTTATGCGAAGATTTGAGAATGTTCTGCCGCACGCCCCTTCTCAGCATCAGTATCCTGCTGAGCGCGGATGTAGACCACGCCAAGTGAAAGTTGACTCAAACTATGTTAGTTACTTAAAATAATGTTCTTCGAGTTCTGTCTAAGTTCTTTCGTGTTTGCAAACAGCAATATTTGAAATATTAATTAGCGGATTGGGTTGTGGCCTCTGCATGATGGGACCTTTAAGTGCTAACATATATAGACACAAGCCGCACATTTCGCATTCAACTGATTTAAATTGCCAAATAATTAGAGCACACATTGATGCTGTCAATAAGTATGTAAATACAAAACCAAAGCTGGGAGCCATGGACAAACGGCCTGGACTAGTGATTTAAAGTGCTAATCTCTCGATATCCGGCGGTTTTCAATGCAAATTCTAAACAGAATAAAGGTAGGATAAAAGTAAGTGCTATAGACAAATCTATTACCATCTGGAATTTTCGATGGAAATTCTGTCAGAAAAGTGTGTATGGAGTCCCCAGATGTATTTATGATATGAAAGATTTTATTCTATTTCCTGATATCTGCATTATATATAGAGTTTTAAAACCTTTTCTATAGGCCAAGTCGATATTTTCCTCCCATTTGTCGATGTCAACACCTTTAGCCTACTGATGGAGTATTAATTTTTAACCACATATATGACAGTAATAATAATATAAAAATACATTTTCGATATGCGAAAAAGATAATGAAACTTAACCAAAGCAATTAGTCAATCCTTAAAATAAAGTTTTCAATTTCACTATTTCAGCAACTAAAGTTAGGGAACGACCAGCACATTCGGAAAAGTTCTCTCACATATTATCAATTTCTTCAAAATCTTAACTCGCACATACAAGTTAAATTACCTTTTATCGGAAATCTCATTATGTGTGTCGACTCCCACTTGACTTGCGCGTTTTATTGCTACAACAATCCTGCGACTGTGCGTTCGTATATTTCGAAAAGCGCAAAGTTACTGTTTGTACAAATTTAATCTCATCTGCCGCATAATGACAGCTACTCAAAATGATTTGCACATAAATCCTCGTTGAAAGCGGCGCGGCAGTATAATGAGCGTATGGAACGCTTATGCCTTCGCGGCAACAGCGCTGAATCGCACCCTCAATACGTTGCATGATGAATGCATGATTCGCCAGAATATGGAATAAATGCTTTTAGAGGGAGGGTGCGTGTCGAAACGGGGTAGTTGCGCAAAAAACTACATTCATTCGCTATTAAGGAGAATTACAATTAAATATAATATTTTTCGTTTACGAATGAATACTTTTCGCTTTTTCACATTCTTATGCTCCAGAGCATTGAGTACTCTTATGAAATTTGATGAAGTGACATTTAAGAAAGATTTTCAAATAAAAATCACACGAGACTTCATTA